CTTATGAGTCTTGGAGAAAGTAAACAGTTATTGTACTGCAGATATGTGTATGATGCTTCCTATAATTGTAAAATCCAAATATTGTGTTCAGCCTTTTTTAGAATACTTGTACAATCAGCACGAAAGTGACAAATTTACAGTTTAAAAACAGATAACTACTGTTTGCTTTTTCGGATTGAAAGTTAAATATTTTGGTGACTCTTTCTTAACTATTTGTTGCCACAAACCCACCTTAGTTCCACTTCAGTAGTTTCAAGTAATTTAATTTCAAGAAAAAAAAACCGGATTTGTATCTTTGCCCAACGATCATTTAATAAAGCTTGTGATTTTATTGGTTTTTCATTTAATGCTTGAGAACGTAAAATATTCTATTAGTAAAAAAATTGCTTATTTATTTCGCTAAATGGTATCATCTTAAAAGTGTTACTTTAACCTCAAGTGAGAAGGTGACGTCTACCAAAATGTCCTGTTTCTCTAGAGTTAGGCCCGGCATGGCCCTGGTATAATCTTTATCGAAACAGATAAACATTTTCTCTGTACTTGATGTAGAGTCATGCCTAGAAGTTATAGGGCATCAAATTGTTCGACTGTCCAGAAATGGTGTGAAGCAAACAGACATTATCAGAACTGTAGAGTGCTCCCAGTGCACTGTATCCGAAATCCTGAAATGTCGTCGGACTACAGGAAACATTATTCCAGGAAAGTCTGTTCGTAGACGCCGAAAAACTAATGTCCGAGATGACAGTGTATTGATCATGTTAACACGTCAAGGTCGAAAGAAGTCTTGCAACACCTTACGACATGAATGGTATGAACACATTCATTTCAGACTTTCCAGAAGAACAGAGAATAGGAGACCGACCAAACAAAGTTATTTTGCAAGAAAGGATATCTTTAAATCGATATTAACCAGAATCCACCGTCGTCACCGTGTTACTTGGATAAGACAGCCTGCCAACTTACAGTTAGGACACTGGCGACGTGTCATATGTTTAGATGAGTCCTGTTTCCGGCTTGTTAAAGCTGATGATATGATTCATGTTTGATGTTTGTCTAGAAAATAGATTAGGGAAGACTGTCTTTCCCACAGGAACTATACAGGAGGTGGTGTAGTACACGTTTGGGTAACTATTCATCATGGTGGAAAAATTGCTCTTCATATTCTCCAGGGAAACTTCAATGACGCCTACTACTGGCATCACATGGAGACGATATTTCTGCCATACGCTAGGACAAAGTTTGGCAATAGCTTTATGTTCCAGGATGACAATGACATTGCCAACAGTGTGCGTATTGTACAGGATTGTCTCGACCAGGAGGACATTACAAGATTTCCATGGCCACCAAAGTTTCCAGATTGTAATCCCATTGAGAACTGTTGGGTAAAACTGAGCCCGAAAATTGCTAACCACAACCCTAAACCAGCTACTATATCTGAGTTTCAATGCCTTGTTGTGACAAGTTGGGGATGGAATGAAGATAGATTACATCAAACACCTCATCGACAGTATGCTACGTCGCCTTACAAATATTATTAGAGTAAGAGAAGGACTAACCAGTAGTGAATGTTTAATTTGAAATGATATAAGGTTACAGATGCTATTTAGTACATATGTAGATGTTTAATATAGCATGCATTTTTCAGATTGACATCGCTAAGTGTATTCGTATTCTATCTTAATAATAATTTATTACAAAATATGCAAACATTTTGGCCAATAAGCCAAAGTCACGAGCATTTGCTGTCTTCATTTAAATTCTCTGAGGCTACTTGGTGTAGATGTTGAAGCAACAGAATCTTCCTCCTCTAAATAAGAATGTGCAATTTGAAGTAGATTTTCTTTACTTCAAGTACTTAAAAAGTGAAGGCTAGACATTTGATATTGTTCACAGAGCTAAATATAACTATATAACTTGTTGCGTTTGATTGCTGTTATTAGAGAATGACTACATCATAATGAATATCGTTTCCTACCATTGATGACTTTCAGTCATACCGTGTAAGCAGGAGACTGATTTCGGATGTATCTATAACCAGTCGAGATAATAATAACATTACTTGCACTAGACAGTCAAAACACTAGAAAATTTGTTTAACAAACATCATACCTTAACTCTTAACTGTTTCAAAGAATTCCTGATATTTCAATTTATGCTGGGTTAATAAGTTTGTTTGACGAAGCTTTCACTGCTATGTTTACAGACAAACAACTCTCTCAGTGCTAGGTTTATTTTTAGACACACAAAAAAAGAAGAAAAAAAATTGGTAGAAAATTCCAAACTCCATAGAAGTGTTTTAAAGATATCTATATATATACCCATGTCTAGGGGGGAGAAATGTGACCATGGAAGTGCTCTTGTGGGAGGAGGGGATATGTTTGGGACCATATTAGTGCTTTAGAAATGGAATATATGTGTCCAAGATAGTGCTAATAAGGTATTCTAATAAGCCAATGATCTGTTCCTTAACTACAGCACACCATTTTAAATATTTTAGATGATTCTCTCTGACAGTATGGATTTCTCTACTAGCCCTGACTTCTATGTAAAGATGTTTGAATACTGTGAAGTACATGATGACGATTGTCAACATAATACCTCAGAAAGAGAAATGTATTATCAAAATGGAGATCATGTGTGAAACTGTTGGAGAAAATAGTGATGTTGATGAACACTAGGTCATATCATTTGGTGATAGCATAGAAGACAGTTCTCTTGGCGATTAGCAATACAAAGGACAAGAAGATTTGGAAGAATAATTCATTAGGCCTTAAGATGTATCCTGGTCATGTATCAGGTGTGACTTTAATGAATCAAGAATAAATCAGCAAGCGACAGTCCTGTTGTAAAAGACTTCGTGCTGCTGATGCCCTGGATAAAAAAGCTTCAATGATTGGACATATGCAGTACGAAAGGTGCTAAAAGTGCAAATGACAGACCAGCTTGTTGTGAGAGATACCAAAGAACAGGATAATAGCAGAGGTATCTCTCACAACTATATCATTCCTCACGATGTCCCAGTTAACTGGGATCGCTGGCAAAAAAAAAAATGAAAAAATGGAAATGTACGAACTGAAATATATATGGGCATGTCGTACACAAATCAAGGGCTATATGATCTCTGGCACTGGGTAAAGCTAAGAAAAGTAGTCAGGCAGTTTTAACTTGCCTAGCAAAAACAAAATTTGAACCATTACCAGCTAGGAAGGCAGTGGAGTCAGAATATAGTACTTTCCTCTAGTTTCTAGCAACCCAGATGTAAAACTACAAACTACCCTGCAGGCCTCCAATTCAAGATTTGATGGTAACAAAGAGGAATGGTTTCTAACAGTCAAGTGAAAAAGATCAACCTAAGGCGAAGAGGCAAAGAGCTTCAACGTCAAAGGTTCAGAAATGTGTACGACCTCTTACACAAGGAGTTCCAATTACTGCGTCTCTAATAAAGATATAAAGGTGAACATTGAATAAGAGATGGAAAATATATAATTGTAGTAGGTTGGGCATTCAATAACAAGAGTGAAGAGAATGAAGACAATTCTGTGTGGTGCAAATCTCAATGATGCGAAAGAGAACGATCCAAGATCAAGTAAGGAATTAAGAATACAAAGACTTTTTCTGAGTGGAGTGCAAGAATATTACAATAAGAGGAGAGAGCAACAATAAACTAATGGCGAAATAGAATGACCATTAATGTGCAAGTGATCCACTTTGGTAGGATAGAAACACCTTAACAACTACTTGGATCAAAGAAAACAGCACGACAAACTTATCCTTACACAGCCATCTACTTCACTCTTAAGCTTCTAGATTTTCGGATCTGAAGGGCTATCCAGCCAACTACTAAAATAGTTAGATTTTATACCGTTGAGTCAGAGATTGCCTGTTAAAACATTTTCTAAAGAATTATTTCACTATATATATTAATTATGAGATTTATTTTACTGCCATAATACGAAATTTATTGATCCTGTCATTTTGACTAGACTGGATATAGAACTTAACAGAGATAGTGTTTTACACAAAGCTGGATTTTTTTTAACACATGCAACTTTTTAAAAAACTGGGAAAATGGCATCCACATATTGGTTACATACGGCAACTATTGTTTTTGTTTTGTTATTGTCCAGCATTACAGATTATCGGTGAAATTCTTCAAGACTGGTCTAACTCAACGATAAGTGATGAATTAGATGATAGATTGGACTTGGTTTAATATCCCAAAAGAATAAAGTAGTACCATTAATGCTACACATTCTTACAAGCTTATATGAATATAAGTTCACTGAGATGAGTAAAAAAAAACAATAAAACACCATACATGAAATGTTTGTTCACGAATATCCTCTTACTGACGTCATGCATACTGGTTTAACCTTTCTGCATTAGTCCATAATTGTTGCTGACATTCCAAGATATACTATATTAAAAGTAATTATGAAAACAATTAATAAAATAGGTATAGAATTCAACTATTATATAATTCATCTCTCTCTCTCTTGTATGTGAGTTATATGCACCAGACTAGAGCCACTAACTGATAGTTTACACAGATATTGGAGGTCATTTGACTAACCAGACAGTGCCACATAAGCATAATTTGTGTAAAAATATAGGTAGTAACAGTATTCTAAACAGTAGTATGGCGGATGTATTCATAGCTCTCAGGACAATAGCGAGCAAATATTGTCTATAATCTTGTTATAAGTACAGGTGAGAATCCATATTTACATATCTAACAACAATAAACAATAGTTTATTCGATGGCTGAGAGGAGAACCTTATTATATTCAACATACAACATCAAAAGTGAAGCATGAGAACCTTATCATATTCAACATCTAAAGTGAAGCATGAGAACCTTATCATATTCAACATCTAAAGTGAAGCATGTGAACCGTTTCATATTCAACATCTAAAGTGAAGCATGTGAACCGTTTCATATTCAGCATACAACATCAAAAGTGAAGCATGAGAACCTTATCATATTCAACATCTAAAGTGAAGCATGTGAACCGTTTCATATTCAGCATACAACATCTAAAGTGAAGCATGTGAACCGTTTCATATTCAACATGCAACATCTAAAGTGAAGGATGTTAGGGTCTAAAAGACTATGAGTTACATCTTAGCAAAATTGATGCCACCTTTACTGGTAACACAAAATAATTGTTATTTACAAGGTCATTCCCTCATGAATAAGGCAGCTGGACATCAGCTCAGCTTACATCAAAACAGTGATCCCTAGCATTCAGGAAATGTGGTGAAACGTGAAATGTTTCAGGAAATTCAGGAAATGTGATTGATAATAACCGTGGATATTATACGACAAAACGCTCTCAGTTATAACGCGTGTTCTCAATTATTAGAAAACCAGTTAACATCACCATCGCCATTTTCAGCTAGTCTTTGCATACAAATAGTGAAATTAATTGTCACATTATAACACCCTCACGCCTTAAAGAGCGAGCATTTTCGATGACAGGTTTCGATCTCGCGAGCTGCAAATTGCGAGTTAAGCGCCCTTACCACCAGGCCATGTCAAATCCACTAAGGATTTTTTTAGCGGAAGGCTCTAGATGTTAGCGTTGTACATCCGTGCATTTATCATTGACTCAGTGCAGGATTCAAACACAAGAAACAAATACCAAAATGTCAGTATGTGCTTACTGTGTATACATGTAATTGTTTACAATATTTTAGAAGTAATTTTAACAGTACCAACAGGTGGACGTAAACTAGAGTTAATGAGCTAACCAAGCTCAAAATTATAAGAAATAAGTATACCCAAAGGTGACCACTAACTGCCTTCCCGCCAAACTACAGTCAAGCCGCAACGTTTCAATATTATTGTTGATGTCCAATAAAATGAGATCTACATACTAAGGAAACACATGCTATATAAATATA